ATCTTTGCTGGCTCTCTGCAATAGCTAACTCCCGTAGTTCCAACCTCAGCTTTGTTCCCACTTTAACATTGGGGACAAAAGCCTTCATCTCTTGATATGACAGCAGACGTTCTTAACAACCAAATCTGCTGAACTCCCTTTCATAATTATGCATAGTTTCAAATAAGTTATGGTGTATGGATGCACAATTCTTGAGGTTGGATGAAAATCTTAATTGCAGAAAAATTTAATGGGCATAACTCTGGTGGAAAATATCCCTACTGTACAGTAGACTAAGAAGAAAAATCTCCTTGTTGGGAGATGTTCCTTGTTCAACCAAGCTGTTTCAAAAGATCTATGCTGAATCCTATGTTTTTGTCTCAGTCTGAGTTGCATAAAGTTTTTTGGAGGGTTTTTCAATTTAAGGCTGAACGGTTTTCCTTGCAGTATTTTAACAATACCTACTGAAAGAATGGCATCCCTTGCCCCCACTCCATCTCTGAAAGGCTGCTGTGCACCTGGAAGTGTCAATGTTGCCTCTTACTGGCAACAACATGGCTCAGCAGTCACATAGACACGTTGACATGACTGGAACTCTGTTGCACATACAACCCTGTTTTCTTACCCTAGTCACAGTTTAACTGCCCACACCATACACTTTAATCATCCATAGTTATATCCCGTCTGAATGCTCTTAGGCAGCACTACCTTGTCCCCAATACCCACTGTAGACCTTCAGCTTGTCATTGTCCATTAGGGAAACTTTACATAAAAACAAGCAATTAGATAAGTACAAACATGAGTTTTTATTTAGAGAAAGCAAAAGGGAATACAAACAAAATGATTAGAGGCTGAAGTTTGTTCCATTGGTGCAAACCAGGCTTCTCATGATGACCACTGATTAATTTATAGTCCACGATCATCTGCTGCACCCAGTTGTAATCTGTTCAAAGTGTCAAAGTTTTGTGTGGTTTTTAATGTCCGATACAGCTGAGCTCTGAAATGAACAATGACAGTTTCCTCCTCATTAAAGTCATCCTTCTCCTCCTCAGAAGACTGTTCCCATTCTCCCAGTTTCTCTGCATCCAGCGCATCGCCTTATTGTCTGCTTCAATTGTGCAGAACACAGCATGCCAGGATGACATGGCACATTCTGTCTAGAATATATTGGAAGATTCCCTAGATCATTCCAAGCAGCAGAACCATATTTTCAACAGTCCTGTACTCATCAACGGCATTGCCCTGGTTGTGGCATGAATGGTGTTAAACCTGCATTCCATATCAGTCAGGGAGGTTGCACAATGTTCTCATGAGCCATGGTCGCAGCGTGTAGTTCTTGCCCTCTAGTAACCAGCCTTGTATGGCACTCAACCAGGTACATACGAGCACTTCAGGACATTGGCAACTGCCAGGATAGCATGTATACAGCTCCAGGAAGATAGAGTGGTGATCATAGATGACCACAGATCAAATGAATAGAACCCTTTCCTGTTGATGAATTACACAGCATTGTGATATGGCCTTCTGAGTGCCTTATGTGTGCAGTCGATGACACCCTACACCTGAGGGAATGAAACTATGTTTCTGAATCCTACTGCCCAGCTGCAACACTGACCACATCATTGGGGAACAAAATAACTGGTGTGACCTTGCACAGATATCTGTCCTGGTGCGCTTGTGGGTATGTGACCGAGAAATCAACACTGGTCACCTGTTGCCCCCTGAAAGCAGCTTGTCTATTGGAAGTTCAGAGTGCCTCCCACTCCTGCAACCCTCAGGTCCTGCTCCAGTATCAGGAACAGTTTAGTCAGCGTCACAGGACATATGGAGCCTGCATCACTGAACAACAGGAAATGGAATCAGGGTCAGAAAATTCTGAGCCTTCTGTGCAACCTGAGAGGCCCTGTGGCTGAGACCTGTCCTTGAGCTAGGTGCTCTTCTTCCTCCGCACCAGCTTGCTACTGCTCCTGAGCTTGCCATGGCCCTGGTCCTTCTTCATTCCCATTGCCTTTTTATATTGGCAGCCACCTCAACCAACATGCCACAAGTGACAGGGCTGATCATTCTGGATGGGAAGGACCTACATAGGGAACAGGCTAATGAAAGAGTTTCTTAGACTTCGGAACATTATCAGTGGCATAGCAATGAGGGCGAAGCACATACAGTTCAACATGCTGCACTCAAATAACAAGGGACACCATTTCCATCATCCATCCACATTCAGGATCAGCATGTGCAGCAACTTGGTTGAAAGTGTCACACTGGCTATGTGACTACCTAATGTCATGAAGAATGGAGGGCCTGTAGTGCATCAATACCCCACCAATGCTAGCCCACATCATATGTTGAACTTCACAATGTATTCAGTACACATTATCATAACAGTTACATGATAGGTAACAAAGCCATGTTGTGTGGCTCATAAGAAAGCTGGAAATTGAATGAATTGTAACTCCCCTTCAAACAGCATTGGCTTATTGTAGTGTCATTGCTGGTCACTTCCATATTACTGAGATGCCCAAGTGTAAGTTGCAAGCAGTAATGACGTGTGGCAAATTGCCTTTGACCAGCATATAACTCCTAAGCACCCTCACTCTGCATGGAAAAGCAAATGGGTGATGAAATGATTGCAAATTAAATGAAGTTGTGCTTTGCAAATAGCCACTTCATGTATTTGTTGCTACAATGTCCTAGCGTCCAGCAAATGTGAATCCTATGCCTATGCTCATCAAACTGATATATACTTTGCCCACCCTGGATGTTGTTCCAGTCATTTTATGGTAGGAACACATCTAGAGAGAGAAAAATTTGTGGTTGACACTGTTAACAATGGGCCCACCTCATCATCACATAACCCCCAAAGCTACCATATCCTCTCTTACCTTGCATTACCCCGACAGCCAATTACAACCCATCTTGTAGTGTGGATATCCACCACGCTGAACTTCACCTACAACAGTCCTCCTTGTCCCAAACTCTGCCATTACACTTTATTGATACCCACAGTGCTCTTCTGTGTACTGTCCTTATCCCCACCTCAACAAATACCTTGACTCCTTCACCCCTTCTAGCATCTCCTGCTACCCTTACAGTATCCTGCCTTACCCATTGAATTCACCTGAAAGATAGATATGACTGAGCAGGCCTTTCATCTTTGTGTTTGCAGCTCCCTGACTGGCAGTATGCAATTTCCTCTAACCGCTTGCATTGGCCCTTAAAGATTGACTGTTGAACACCCCTCGGACTGTATTGGGACAGTTCCAGTGAATTGTGACCATCCCAAATGAATGACTGACTGATGGTATGAAAGCCTCTGACTGATGGTACCAAGTGCCCCTGATAAACAATGGCAAAATTTCAGGCATGGCGATTTGGTCAAGTAATGTGTAGTGTGTTGCCAAATAGGCAGCTGGAACATTTTCTGTGTAGGTGTTGGATATCAATTTAGCATTCATCAACATGTTCCTCACACCACCCTCAGACAGATCCCAACCGATAAGCATGACAGTCAACCTGTCTGTGTCTCTGTGCAAAAAAGTACTTCAAAGTGGCAATAATGGTGGCTTTGGCTCTGGCTGATGTGCCAACTGGCATGACATAGCAAAGCGATACAAGATTTGAGTGATGATTTTTTATTCATTTGTAGGATGTGCGCGTTGTTGGCTGGCCAGTATTTATTGCCCATCTCTAGTTGGCCTTAAGAAGGTGGTGGTGAGCTGCCTTATTGAACTGCTGCAGTCTACCTGCTGTGCATTAACCCACAATGCCATTAGGAATTCCAGTATTTTGACCCAGTGACAGTGAAGGAATGGTGATATATTTCCAAGTCAGGATGGTGAGTGGCTTGGAGGGGAACTTGGAGGTGGTGGTATTATGTATCTGCTTCCTTTGTCCTTCTAGGTAAAAGCGGTGGTGGGTTCAGAAGGTGCTGTCTGAAGATCTTTGGTGAATTTCTGCAGTGCATCTTGTAGATAGTACACACTGCTGCTACTGAGCGTCGGTAATGGAGGGAGTGAATGCTTGTGGATGTAATGCCAATCAAGCGGGCTGCTTTGTCCTGGATGGTGTCAAGCTTCTTGAGTGTTGTTGGGGCTGCACTCATCCAGGCAAGTGGGGAGTATTCCATTACACTCCTAACTTGTGCCTTGTAGATGGTGGACAGGCTTTGAGGAGTCAGGAGATGAGTTACTTGCCGAGTATTCCTAGCTTCTGATGTGTGCTTGTAGCCACTGTGTTTATGTGGTGAGTTCAGTTGAGTTTCTGGTCAATGATAACACCAAGGATGTTGATAGTGGGGAATTCAGTGATAACAACAACCTTGAATGCCAAGGAACGTTGGTTAGAATATCTCTTATTGGTGATGGTCACAGCCTGGCATTTGTGGAGAACGAACGTTACTTGCCACTTGTCATCCCAGGCCTGGATATTGTCCAGATCTTGTTGCATTTGAACATAGATTGCTTCAGTATCTGAGGAGTCACAAATGGTGCTGAACAATGTGCAATATTTGACGAACATCCTCACTTCTGACCTTATGATGGAGGGAAGATCATTAATGAAGCAGGTGAAGATGGTTGGGTCCAGGACACTACCCTGAGGTACTCCTGCAGAGATGTCCTGGATCTGAGATGATTGACCTCCAACAACCACGACCATCTTCCATGTGTCGTGGATGACTCCAACCTCCGGAGAGTTTGCCTCCTGATACCCATTGAATCCAGTTTTTCGAGGGCTCCTTGACGCCACACTCAGTTGAATGCAGCCTTGATGTCAAGAGCTGTCACTCTCACCTCACCTCTGGAATTCAGCTCTTTTGTCCATGTTTGAACCAAGGCTGTGTTGAGGTCAGGAGCTGAGTGGCCCTGGTGGAACCCAAACTGGGTGTCACTGAGTAGGTTATTTTTGAGCAGGTGCTGCTTGACCGCACTGTTGATGACACCTTCCATCACTTTACTGATGATCGAGAGGAGTCTGATGGGACAGTAATTGACTGGGTTAGATTCGTCCTGCTTTTTATGTACAGGACATACTTGGGCAATTTTCCACGTTGTCGGGTAGATACCAGTGTTGTAACTGTACTGGAAAAGCTTGGCTAGGGGAGCGGCAAGTTCTGGAGCACAAGTCTTCAGTACTATTGCCGGAATGTTGTCAGGGCCGGTAGCCTTTGCAGTATCCAGTGTCTCCAACTGTTTCTTGCTATCACGAGGAGTGAATCGAGTTGGCTGAAGACTGGCATCTGTAAGGCTGGCGACCACTGGAGGAGGCCGAGATGGATCATCCACTCGGCACTTCTGGCTGAAAATTGCTGTGAAAGCTTCGGCCTTATCTTTTGTATTGATGTCCTGGGGTCTTCGTCCATCATTGAGGATGGGGATATTTGTGTAGCCTCCTCCTCTCGTGATTTATTTAATTGTCCACCACCATTTATGACTGGATGTAGCAGGACCGCACTGCTTAGATCTGAACTGTCGGTTATGGGATCGCTTACCTCTGTCTATCACTTGCTGCTTATACTGTTTGGCATGCAAGTAGTGCTTTTTGATTGACTGATTGATTTATTGTCATGTGTACCAAAATACAGTGAAAAGTTTTGTTTACGAGCGGTACAGGCAGATCATAGTAAGCAAAGGATGTATGGTCCTGGGCACAGCAACTGCCATTCTGGGCCATTATGCACCTGGACAGTATGCTTTCAATAATGCATCTGTAGAAGTTGATGAGGGACCTTATGGTCATGCCGAATTTCCTGAGCCGCCTGAGGAAGAAGAGGCATTATTGTGCCTTCTTGACTGTCACATCTACGTAGGAAGTCCAGGACAGGTTCTTGGTTATTGGGAAGTCCAGGACTGGTAGTTGGTCCAGGCTGACACATCATCTTCAGGTATGCCTGGTGCTGCTCCTGGGTTGATCCGCTGGCTTGATGGTAATGATTGAGTGGGGGACATGCCAGACCATGAGGTTATAGATTGTGCTGGAGTACAATTCTGCTACTGTTGATGGCCCACAGCGCCTCATGGATGCCCAGTCTTGAGCTGCTAGATCTGTTCGAAGTCTGTCCCATTTAGCACGGTGACAGTGCCACACAACACGATGGATGTTATTCTCATTGTGAAGGTGGGACTTCATCTCCACAAGGACTGTGTAGTATGTGAGTATGAAGTAAGTGTGAGCACTACGAGACCAAGCGAGCAGCCCTGAAATAGAGTCATAGAGGCATACAGCACGGCCCTTTTCCTCCATGAAGAATGCCCCTGCTGCAGTCTTTCAATGTTAGTTTCTAGAGCATCCAGCAATGCAAATTTGTGTTTCCTCTGCCAGTGTATTGGAGAGGTGGCATGATGCCACTGGCTGTGGACGAGGGGTGTGTGTCGGGGTGGTACCCATAGATTATGACTTGAATTGCGGTTTGGTTGTATGCAACATGGAAATATTTGGATCAAGCGGTGAGCTGAATCCACCAGGTACATGCTCTGGTTTCCATGTCGAGG